AAAGCAGTGGTATCAACGCAGAGTACTTGATTTCAAATAGAACATTGATTGCAAAAAGTACGAACGAAATCATTGACGTTGATGAGATCGATGAAAAAGTCTAGGCTGTCATCGAAGCAAGAAGCAATGTTTCATTAGCTTCATGGGCTCTGGATGCATTCGAAGCTAGAACGACGCTTTTACCTGTATTTAGGATAAGGTTAGAGGTGGTTGGATCGCCAAGAAATAGTTTTTTCTGAACATTTCACTCTATGCGGATTTCTTTCAAGCAATGGCTGCTTTGATGATCAAGTGTGGCGTGCATTGCTGTATTGCTTTTCATAGCCAGCGTGTCGGTTTGTAGTACCCAAATTTTGAGGCTCTGTTGAGTAGATCCCTATCTAGACTGTTATTGGAGCTTAGTCTAATAGGAATGTAATCAACCCAAGAAAAACAATCACCTATTTCTTTGTGTGTACTAGGCTGACATCTCTACCAATATACTCAAATTGGTGGCGCTAACCGAGTCATTGCAGTATATCAGAGTTTTGTCTACGACAGGGTAGATTCATAACAATCGGCAACGTCGATGGTGTTGGTATTTTTTGCTTTGCTTTTTCCGCTCAGTGTTCTATTTGACATCAGAATTCACTTATGAGACAGCTATGATAACAGATCCCGACAGAAGTTCTTCAAAATTTTCTGCATCAAAATGATGTGAAAAGATGACACAGCTTATGGCCAACGTCAGAAGGGTGAAAGCTCACAACCTGCATAAAAGCAGCAACATAGGACTAGCATTACACACAAAATGCGTTCCGTTCTATTGGTAAGTCGCTACTTTCTCAATTTTGACTAAGCAATCTAGTAAACGTTTCAGGTCTGCCTAATCGCGACTGCTTATGCAGGTATAGTAGCTCTTCGTGCTGCTTATTGCCAAAAATGTTAGTCCTTTTTTACCAGGTATTATTTGCCCCGCAAATGGCGGCATGAACGATCGGATCCGTCAAAAGTTCTTGGATGTTCACAACGAGCTAAGGTAAGAGATCTAATGAAAAGGATTTTTTGCTTTCTACGAGTTCACATCTGATGCATGCAGATCGCTGGTGGCTAATGGAAAAGCTAAAGACGGTTATGGAGGTTATGCTCCTAAAGCTGCTGCCATGAACAAATTGGTATTTTTCTCTGGCAACATTGATGATAGGCAGCAAGTGATAGCGAGATATTCCAGAAGTACGACTGCGATGTGGAGAAATACGCTGTGAAACACGCTGCTAAATGTGTCTTCCAGCACTCAAATACTAGAGGTCTTGGAGAAAACGTCTACATGCGCGGCTCAGCGTACGACCCAGTAAAAGCTGCCGAAGATGTGAAAAATGCCATTTTGCTTGTCGCTCAAAGAAAGCAACTCGTTTTTATCATTACAGGCTTCAAGATCATGGTTTGGGGAGCTTGCACAACACGGAGTTGGCAAAGACCTCACCTTCAGCATGAAACTCTTCAACAATAAAGTTGGACACTACACACAGGTGAAAACAGTTTCTGCATTCTCATCACCGAGAATACAATATCCTAGTTCTTCCTACAAAGCCGCCACCACCCCGCACCCAAGAAGCAGTCGCAGCACTAGATTTGCGCCAACGCAGACAAACTATACCCTTCCCAATGCGCTTGCTTTGCGCCATCTTGAAAACTTCTCAATTACGTTAAAGAGCCTTTGCCTACTTGTTGTTAGTAGCAGGAATGATCTCAGACAATATCATGGTTTCTTAAATACATAGATTTAGATGGTCTGGCAGTCTACAAAAGTCATTGGTTGCGCTGTTCAAACCTGCCCCAGGATGTCCTTAGCAGTCTGCAATTATAAAGAAGCGTAAGTAGAGTTGCTTCAGTAAGCCACCAACAAGACTTCAATTTTAGAGGAAACATGCTTAATGCCAAAATCTACGAAACAGGTGCACCATGTTCGAAATGCCCAGGAGGATGCTCTGAAGGTCTATGCGTCGTTTAAATTAGAAACTCGCAGAATAAACTTCAAATGATTTGGCAATGCAACGTATGAGTGGAGCTTCACATGAAACGAAATCACAAATGATTATCTACACAACCACGCAAAAGAGTAGTTTAGAACATAACAGCAACTAATAACAACATCTGTAGTTCCTTGTTCATAAACTTTAGCTAATTTAATAAGATATAGAAGTCATTTTCTGCGCAAAAGTCAATCTGAATGAGCTATCGAAACCTCTAAAAATTCAATGAGATACACAAGGTGTTCTCTACAAAGATATTTTTGCATATACGTTTCTGTTCTCAAAGCAAATTACATGGTTTTACTACCTTAATCTTTATCTGAATTCCTTTCGAGTGGTATCCCGATGACGCTCCCAAGAGTCTTCCAAGATCTACTTTTTGGTGTGGAATATTCTCCTTTTAGGAATACCAGACCTGGAATTATTCCGAGTTGGTCAGTACACTAGAAGGAGGGATACACCGCCGCCATAGTGTGCAAGTGTGATGCAGACTAGATTGATGTTAGAATTTTTGAAACTTTCACCCGGTAGAGTTGGAGATCCCTAAATTTTACCCAGTCAAGAATGTTGCGCATGTCTTTCATTCACTTTGTTCCTACATCTACTTAATCTTGTACAAAACGAAGTAGGTGTCGTGTTAACTAACTGTGAAGTAGTATATACAGTAGTGCACTTTTTGAAGCAAGTAATAATTATCTATACGATAGCAGACGCATTTTCGCCGAACTCGCCTTATCGCCTAATTTTTCGTTCAGTCGTATTTCGCTCAGGATGAACGAATCCGGACCAAGTTACCTCTGCTTGGTATGCACTAAACCCACTGCAGATGGCCGCCAAATAATGAAATAAATAGAAGCCGGTTAAAATATCGGACGTCGCATTTTTCGACAATGGCTCTAATTGGGCAAATGTTATTCAGAGAAATGAAAGATGGAACAGGATTAAACCAATTTTATGAAAACTACAAGATTAGTTCTTGAAACTTTGTTCGTTCTGAGTTTTGCGTGACATTAAGGAATGTAGCACAAGCTCAAAACACTGTGACAGCCACACCTTTTTTTGGGATTGTGCCGTAATCCATAGGTTTTGCAACAGAAAAATTTTTAACGGACGATATATGTGTCAAACAGTCGCTTATCAGTGGCGGACCGAGGGGGAGGGGGACTTGGGCAGGGTGGCCTCTCTTGAATTTGTACTTGTACATAACTGCATTATTCTTGAAATTTTTGTGGCTGCCTCCACTCCCCCGGTGGACCAAGGCAGAGAAAATGCCAATGCAAAAAGTGACCAACTTATTGAAAAATGTGAGTGTTTAGCTTATAAATCAACAAAAACATCAAGATGTTCACAACAATTTTTGTTTTTAATTTCAACACTATAACACATACACATTATATTTCCGAAAAGTTGATTTTGCTTGAAATTGGCCACTTCACTTGAATGGGTCTACATTTGGAAAATTGCCCTTAATTTTGGTCAACAGGAATCATTTGACATGATATTCACGAAAATGGTATTCATTATGCTTGGCAGGGCCTCTTTATATGCCGACAGGTGTACAATGATACAGTATCTCGGTGTGCTTGAATTCTGCGCAGTGGGGGAGGGGGGGGGGGTCGTTATCACGGTGATAGTGATGTTAGCGAATTATGTCATTCAACAATGTCTGATAGGCCCATTGTACGAAATACCAGCAGCACGATGTTTTGGCCTAACTCGTACATGCACACTAAGCATATTAAAAGAATTCTGAAAGCATAAGAGCACCATTTTCGTAATTAGCATGTCAAATAACCCCTGAGGGCCAAGTTTCAGCGAATTTTGAGCTTTCCAAATATTGGGACACTTAAGGGAGGTGGTCATTTTCGACATGCTGACTTCGTTTCAAAGGTGAGTAAGCTACTTCTTTTTGCACGCATTACAAGGTACTACTACGTCTTTGCTCGTATTAGGAATCCCACTTCAACACCTCTAAACTCTGGAATTAAGAGCAAGCCAAAATCTCGTTTGTCCCAGTTTTCGCTTTCGATTTCTTAGACTACAGAAGGCCAAACAGGCTCAAATCACTCTTGTGAAGGTTGCGGGGATCAGGCCATCGAATATACTTGTTCTTGCCGCCTTCCCTCACAATTTATGTTGAGCGCAGACTTAGCCTATTACCGTAATCCAATATTTTCGCAGTTTCATTTGCTTAGCTAAAGAAAAACGACTACATCTTTCCCTAGGAGAAACAATTTTGCATGAAATTGATGCTATATGGAGAAGAAGGGTTAGCAGTAGCAAACATGCAAAAAAGACAGAGATTTGAATGCTTTGAAGGTAAGGTGGCGGTCACAGCTTTTTAGGGGTTGTGCCACACCCCATTAACTTACCTCTAAAAAGAATTTAAGCGAACAAAATACATATAGTTCGACAGCCTAAGTCTTTTAGTTTTCATAGGAGGAGTAATTTGGGCCTGATTCAATCTTCTCTCTGACAAGGGAAGGATACTTGGTCGAAGTGGCGTTCCGTCATGAAATGTATACAGCCTTATAGAGCTTAGGACACTGGTTCCAAATCTGCTTTCCTTATCTGCAAAGCGCTTCTGGGAGGGAAGTTGTGGGAATTTCTTGGAGCAATTCGAACGCGCAGCTACCATAAAGTCATTCAAACTGCGTCTATGAGCTCGAATGGGACTATGATCGCTACCAGTGCTTTTGTGCAATACTACCTTCAATCTATTAGGTTGTCAAGAAAATAATGTCCGTTTTTATTTGCTTGCTTTAACAAAGCAACCAGACTTAACCCAACAAAGGGTAAGGGGTACTGTTCGATAGAGCAAAGCAAGCTCTACAAGATGGCACCCATATCTTTGCGCCAAGCTCGATACACGGAGAGTTCGAACTCAAAATCTAAAGATTTCCAAATGCCCAAAAAATCAAAAAAAAATCAGATCTTCGTCCAGATAATTTCTACGGACCTCCCACTCGCTCACATCAATACTATCGATATCAGATATCCATATGTGCGATTGCCGTATTTTTTCCTTGACTAGAAACTGAGAAAACGAAAATTTCCCTGATTTTCTCAAAGCAAAGCTGAGCCGTTTCTGCAAGTGTTGTTCTATACTACAAGCCTAGGTAAGTATAACTGTAGATTTTCAGCCCATTCCAAGCGGTAGTTTTCGAAAAATAACGAATTCGGATTTTTTCGTTTCAGTTTCAGTGCTAAAATCGACATTTCTCGAAAAGTACCGCTCGAAATAGGCTGAAAACCTACAGTTATGCTAACCTAGTCTTGTAGTATAGAACTACATATGCAAAAACGGCTCAGCATTGCTTTGAGAAAATCAGGGAAATTTTCGTTTTCTCAGTTTCTAGTCAAGGAAAAAATACGGCAATCGCACATATGGATATCTGATATCGATAGTATTGATGTGAGCGAGTGGGAGGTCCATAGAAATTATCTGGACGAAGATCTGATTTTTTTTTGATTTTTTGGGCATTTGGAAATCTTTAGATTTTGAGTTCGAACTCTCCGTGGATCGAGCTTGGCGCAAAGATATGAGTGCTATCTTGTAGAGCTTGCTTTGCTCTATCGAACAGTACCCCTTACCCTTTGTTGGGTTGAGTCTGGTTGCTTTGTTAAAGCAAGCAAATAAAAACGGACATTATTTTCTTGACAACCTAATAATAGGCTCTTGTCAGTCATTACTCCTTTAAAGCGCCGGGAAGACCTCAACACCTGTTTTACCTTAGCCAAACCATTGAATTTTCGCCACAAGAAATTCCCAGAACTGCCTTCCCAGAGAGGTGGTCATTTTCGACATGCTAACTTCGTTTCAAAGGTGAGTAAGCTACTTCATTTTGCACTCATTACAGGGTACTACTACGCCTTTGCTCGTATTAGGACTCCCACTTCAACTAACCTCCAAACTCTGGAATCAAGAGCAAGCCAAAATCTCGTTTGTCCCAGTTTTCGCTTTCGCTTTCTCATACTACAGAAGACCAATCAGGCTAAAATCACTTTTGTGAAGGTTGCGCGGATCAGGCCATCGAATATACTTGTTGGTGCCGCCTTCCCTCACAATTCATGTTGAGCGCAGACTTAGCCTATTACCGTAATCCAATATTTTCGCAGTTTTCCATTTGCTTAGCTAAAGAAAAACGACTACATCTTTCCCTAGGAGAAACAATTTTGCATGAAATTGATGCTATATGGAGAAGAAGGGTTAGCAGTAGCAAACATTAAAAAAGACAGAGATTTGAATGCTTTGAAGGTAAGTTAATGGGGTGTGGCACAACCCCCAAAAGCTGTGGCGGTCACAGCTTTTTAGGGGTTGTGCCACACCCCATTAACTTAACTCCAAAAAAATTTAAGCGAACAAAATACATATAGTTCGACAGCCTAAGTCTTTTAGTTTTCATAGGAAGAGTAATTTGGGCCTGATTCATCTTCTTCGCTCTGAGAAAGCTGGTGAAAGCGCAGCCATTGGAAACGAAAAATGGGACAAACGAGATTTTGGCCTGCTTCCAAATTCATAGTTTGTTGGCTATTTGAAGCAGATTTGATGGCATGGGAAAACAGGGGAGTAGTGCTTTGTATTTTGTACAAAAAATTCAGCTAATTCACTTTTAATATAGTTAATTATTTCGAAAATTCCACTTCACTTGGGTGGTCCAACATTGGGAATCCTCAGAATTTGCTGAAACTTGGCCCATGGTGGTTATTTGACATGATAATCACGAAAATGTGCCTAATTATGCATGGTAGAGACTTTATGTCATGCCTACGGAAGAGAAGATGGGAGGGGGGAGGCTCGTATCCGGCGCTTGTGTGCCGCATTGCCTCTTGCTCGACCCTGATTCAAATGGCACAAATTTCGCAAACGCACTGTATATAGTCACACAAAAACGATAGCGTACGTCATCTGCTGATTGATACTGGTCTAGTATAGCCAGAACCAATGGTTTTGAAATATCTATTGAGAGAAATATAT